ATTCCCTCTGACTTATTACTCATCTTCATCGATCTCATCATCTTTCTTCTCTCGTCTTATACAGTTGACTCTCATCCATCATCCTGGCTACTCTAGGGATCAGTGTTTTGAATACTACCTCCTACTCCAATCCTGTTCATCTGCCTTGTCAATATAAGTCGCTGCCTGGCTATCATATTCCCCAACACACCAGCTTCCTCTCTCACTCTCCTCTCTCCGAGATACAGCGGGAGAGGGGAGGCCCTGCGCCATGCCCCAACCCTCAGCGGCAGTCTCACGAAAGTAAACCGGAGCACATGTCGCACACTCCGCCGGCTTCTGACCCCTTGAAGGACGATTCCCTCCGCACAGACTCATGCAGCTTGTCCGAAAAGAAGCGACCTCGTGTAGACGATGATCCTCACTCGTCCGAGGGCCGTGATCTCGTGCGTCCTCGGCCGTACTCATGGCGCCCTTCTGCTCCAGTGGAACCCCCATTGCAAGCTGCCCAGCTTCGTTCTATTGGAGTGCACTCTATACTGAATTCCCCCGCAAAACCTGCTCCTACTTGTCTGGTACCTTCGGGGGGAGATAACCTGAGCCTGGCGAGACATCAGTCATCCGTCCCTCCATCTTCTTCTGCACCTGCTTCTCATGTCCGACTGCATTCGTCGCCAACGCTTCGTCTTGCTTCGCCCGCGATACATCATGCCAAACGGCGTTCGCTATCGCCTGGGTCGGTGGACCGTCAGATTCTCTCGCCCGTCTCCCCCACAGCTCGGTTTGTCGGAGCCGGAGGGCCGTATGCTAGGAAGCACAGTACTGTACAGTCTCCCCTGGCTCAGGAGTCACGGCCCGGACTGTATCGGTTGTCCTCTGGGTCGCCTCTGCCGTTGGAAAATGCTACAGTGAACCCGAATCATGCACCCGAAACTATAGCCCCAGCCCCCGTCTCCATCCACTCCACTCCAACCTTTCACAGTCGGGGAACGAGCGTGAACCCGACCCCTACTCCCAGCTCCCAAGACAGGAGCCCCACGACTCCTCTTTCCATATACGGTCCGCTCGGTCGAGCATCACCAGCGATCTCTGGGATGCCCATCCCACAATCTGCACCATCGTTCGCTAATCCCCCGAGATATGGAACGGCAGAACCGGTTAGTCGATTGTCGTCGGTTGGAGGTGATAGGCCGGCAGGAGATGAGCAAACCAGCATGGGGGGACCTACGAATGCCCCACCTCTGCCTGGGATGATTCCCTGTATTTTGGACCTCAAGTCCGGGTCATCCAGCCAGGCAGAGAAGCGAAAAGCAAACAGCGATGCCTCGAGAAGGTTCCGCAATCGGAAGAGGAACGAGATGCAGATGGAACAGAAGATCACGGCACAACAGGACGAGATCCGGAAGCAGCAGGAGGCACTGCACAAACAGGCGCAGGAGATTCGGGAGCTGATGCAGCAACGCGATTATTATCGATCCGAGCGGGACTTTTACCGAGAGCATGTCACTCGACTCGTACCGCCGGGGCAGCTTCCAGCTCGGCCACCATCCCCTCAAGCGTACCGTTCGATTCCGGAGCGGGAAGCTGAGACAACGTGGTCCGCTGCAGAGAGCAGAGGTGCCATGAATGCTACAGGAGGATCACCTGGTAAAGCGACAGCCTCCAATGCAGTTTCTGGACTATCTGTCAGACGAGACAACTGGCACAACAATCTCTCATACCCAGTGGCTACTCATGAACAACAGGCTAAGCCACCACACCAGCTGTCTGAGAACTGGACGCGTTCCTAAGCGAAGAGCGAATTAAGGGTATCCAGCAGACCGATTCTGTGAATCGTTGCATATGCCCGCAGAAAGCGTAACACCTCTAGCTCATGTATTATCCTTTTCATTTGTCTTTTTATTCCTACTATGTTGTCCATCAAGATTGTTGCTGTCTCTTTTCCCCCTGAATATAAGCAGCGTGCCTGCATTTGGGCGCGTTCTCTGCGAGAAAAGCTTGCGTCCTCATTTTGACTGTGGCTGAGCGCTTATATTCATCGAGCCCGTTTTATAGATTGTCTTGGGTTTCTGGGAGGTCAGATTGTGATTTAGTTTGCTTAAATTGCCGCAAGTGACCCTCATCTCTGTACATAGCTCAGAAAGCCGTCCTTACGCTGGCAGGCGTTGGAGAAGAACCTGGTACATTACCCTCATGATCTCGTCCGTTTTACGCATCCACAAATTCCCCCCCATATAGAAGGGTTTCCCACTGTTCATTCAAACAATCACACGCTAGTTGCTACATGTTGCAATTCCATTAGCCCAAGCAGTCACTGCTGATCCGTGACTTGAATGCATCTCCTGCATCTCTGTCCCTCGTATGGCGCACGCCACCAAACCAGTCAACAAACAGCTCGATGATCATCGCAGCTAATTTCTCTGAAACATTGCTCCGATGCTAGTTTTAGAATTCCATCTGCAGGGTTCATGTGTGCCATATCACTAGCAAAGGTAATTAGATTGCAAAGCAGGTCTGCATGGAAGATGCTGTTGGGAGCACATTAGCGATGTTCTGGAAGTTGTCTGTTGCACACGTTGCGATGAGAGGGCGTTCGATTGGTGGTGGAAGAAAAACATACTCGCCTTTAAAGAGCAGATTAGATTGCGCGCACTGAGTCTGACTCTGGGCATTACAGGGCTGTTAAAGTGCTATTGATATCTACTTCGTGTTTACTCTGTAGACTGTAGATAGTTTGGTCGTTCTTGATTTACTGCAGAATTGCTTTGCCTGGAAGGTAGCCAGTGTTAAAATAAAGTATTCACAGAGTTCATCAATATGTTTCCTCATCGAATCCAAGCGATCCTCTCCAATATCTATCATGATACTCTACTATAATCAATCTAATCTCCAGAGTATTCAAGGCACCAAGGCCCCCACATAGTCTCCCGGCTCGGGATCTCAGGCTGTCAATCTCAGGCTGCCAGGCACTCTCCAACCACCACAACGGGTGCACCCACGTGGTTTTCCGCGCAGCCTATCAGACGCTCGCACATCATCACACATCGGTTTGGCTCAACACTATGGATCTCTCCTTCGGTCAAATTTCTGTACGCTATCGTACTCGGTTCGGATTCATTCCCTGCTCCCCTGCTCTCACGCGACAGACTTACGAATCGCTCCACTGACGCCATTGGCAAGCTAGCTGGCCCGGACGTCCGTTTCACATGCGGAAGGAAAGTGCGATATGAGTCCGGTGGGAAGAGATGAAGGAGCTATATAATGGCCGGCGTGTTCGGCGGGGTGAGGAGGATTTCCCGCTCAGATTGAGGGTTACGACTTTTAACAAGGGGAGAATCCTGATTGTTGGTATCATGGGTGCTCTTACTTTCCTGCTTTCGGTAGTGTATCTGCTATCTGGGTGAGTGGCTCCATTTTCGTTGCTATGATAGGGCTGTGGTTCTGATTGTGGTACGGAGTAGGGTGTCTTCGGCACCGACTCCGGCTGGCAACGCTTCGTGCGATACGGTAGAGCTCGGGTACCAGTGCTCTCCTGCGACTTCTCACCTGTGGGGCCAGTACTCGCCGTTCTTTTCGCTTGAGGACGAGCTTTCTGTGTCGAGTGAGCTTCCCGAGGATTGCCGGGTCACCTTTGTGCAGGTGCTGTCCCGGCATGGAGCGCGGTACCCTACCAGCTCGAAGAGCAAGAAGTACAAGCAGCTAGTGAAGGCGATCCAGAGAAATGCTACCTCGTTCAAGGGCAAGTTTGCCTTTCTGAAGACATACAACTACACCCTGGGTGCGGACGACCTCACTCCCTTTGGGGAGCAGCAGATGGTGAACTCGGGGATCAAGTTCTACCAGAAGTACAAGGCTCTTGCGCGGAGAGTCGTGCCGTTTATTCGCTCCTCGGGCTCGGACCGCGTCATTGCTTCCGGGGAGAAGTTCATCGAGGGCTTCCAGCAGGCGAAGCTGGCGGATTCTGGAGCCACGAACCGCGCCGCTCCGGTGATTAGTGTGACTATCCCTGAGAGCGAGACGTTCAACAACACGCTGGACCACAGTGTGTGCACGAACTTTGAGGCAAGTGAATTGGGGGATGAGGTTGCGGCTAACTTCACTGCGCTCTTTGCACCTGCGATCCGTGCTCGCGTCGAGAAGCATCTCCCTGGTGTGAAGCTGACAGACGATGACGTTGTCAGTCTGATGGACATGTGCTCGTTTGATACGGTAGCGCGCACCACTGACGCGAGCCAGCTGTCGCCCTTCTGCGCACTCTTCACTCACAACGAGTGGAAGGAGTATGACTACCTCCAGTCCCTGGGCAAGTACTACGGCTACGGCGCAGGCAACCCTCTGGGACCGGCTCAGGGGATAGGATTCACCAACGAGTTGATCGCCCGGTTGACCCGTTCGCCATTGCAGGACCACACGAGCACCAATTCCACTCTGGACTCCAACCCGGTCACCTTCCCGTTGAACGCCACCATTTACGTTGACTTTTCGCACGACAACGGCATGATTCCCATCTTTTTTGCCATGGGTCTGTACAATGGCACCGAGCCCCTGTCGCTGACCTCCGTGGAAAGCACCAAGGAGTCGGACGGGTATTCGGCGTCCTGGGCGGTGCCTTTTGGCGCGCGAGCCTACTTCGAGACGATGCAATGCAAGTCGGAAAAGGAGCCTCTTGTTCGCGCTTTGATCAATGACCGGGTCGTGGCACTGCATGGCTGCGCTGTTGACAAGCTGGGGAGATGCAAGCTGAATGACTTTGTCGAGGGATTGAGTTGGGCCAGATCTGGAGGGAATTGGGGAGAGTGCTTTAGTTGACAGTTGCCATTGTTCTGTCGTATTAATAGATCGTTGCTCTAGTGATTGACTCAGTTGTCATTCACTTCACTTACCTTGAATCAACTGCCGTGTTCCGTCGCACTCTCACTTCAACCTTCATATGTTCTTCTTGATAACTCTCTACAACCTTTCAGCTTCCTCTCAACTTCCAATCAATGCTACCCTCTAGCCCTTACAGCAGTACATGCCAAATGCCCATCTACGACATAACCCACTACCTCCCCATCGAGACCCTCCCACCCCCCGAAACCGACAAAACGTACTACACCAAACCCATCCTCGTACTCATCGTCTCCCTCCGAATAAACACCTGGAACAAATACCTCTCTGTCATCCGCAAACTCCAGCGCGAGGCCCGCCTCCTCTGCGTCACAAACGTCTACGACCTGAATGAGCTGGTCGACGAGCACGCAGACGAGATCGCAGGCTTTATCGTCACAACGAGGGATATCATGCTCGCGGACGAGTACGTTCCTGTCCTCCCCTCTCATCCCAATAAAAACAAACACCAACAGCCCGATCGCAACACCACAATCAAACTCAAATGAAATTGAAATCGAAGAAGGAATGATAGAAGGCCTACCGACCCGCCTCGCCACCCTCCTCAAACACCCACCCGCGGCGCACAACAGCTACTCCCTCGTCTTCGCCTTCGAGTTTCCCCGCGCAGCAGCCAAATACCCCACTTCCTTTACAGCCTTTATGCAGGCTCACTTCGGGTTGAACTGGAGCATCGCAGGGACATCGCGAACAAGAGTAGCGATGGAGCTACAGCAACACATTCTGGGGAAGTTAGCGGCGAGGACGTACCGCCGGCGGTTCCATATCCGAGGTGTGTTTCTGCGGGGTGTCCCGAGGCAGGAAAAAGTGTTGGTAAGCTGCGAGAATGGGGAGATTGAGTTTGGGGAGGGGGAGAGGATGAATCGGTGGACACTTTGGCATCGGAGGCCGTGGATTGAGACGCCGGATACGGTTGTTGGGGAGTGGGATCAGTCTGAGGGTGATGAGGAGGAGGGATATTTGGGTGATAGTGAGGAGATGGATGATGAGGACGATGGAGAGGACGACGAAGACGAAAAGCTTCGTGCAGACTGCCCCGTTGCCATCCACGAGGTCAAACCCGCGAACGAATCAGAGGACGGAGGAAGCTACGTTGCCTTTGTCGGCCACCTGGAGGACAGCCGCTCGATGGCCTCGTTGATACTGGGGATCTGTGGTGTTGAGATGGACGATTCTGAATAGTTTGGCTCTTGCAGTTTGGTTTGGATTTGGTACATCTGATAGCTGAGCCGATACCAACAAGTGACAAATCAAATGTCAACACTAATATACAATACTAGTAACAAAACATATTCTACTCCTTCTCTTTCTCCTCCGTAGACGGTCTCCCCAACCGCTTCGGTTTACTATTCCCATACGCTACAAACATCAGCTCAATCTCATTCGCAGACAAGAAAAGCGCACATACTCCGGTCATACAACACCCACGATGTGTACAGAAATATTGGCAGCGCCACAATAGTCGACAACCACCTATCATCGTCATCAGTTTAGTACCGAAAATAAAAAGCGAGCTTAGGCTTACCGTCTAGCGGCGACTTTGTACTCCTTCGTCTGCCGGATATCTGAGATCTGGGCTTGGGTCCGGGGCCGCGTTGTTCGTCGCTGCGAGAGGGTTTGCGGGTCGACGATGACTCTGGGTTTTGAGGTGGAGGGGTGCGGTGGGGGTGTAGATTTTGTCATTGTTTTACTTTTCAGGTCGGTATATACTACAAAGTAGACCAAGATGAAGTTGATGCAGGAAATGGATTGTTACAAGGTCATGGACCGTGACGGGTGTGCGGTTGGGGGAAAAGTTTGCCTTGGTGCCTTAATGCCTCAGGCATCTTCAAATCGTTTCTACGATCCCGTGTTCTTTGCCTACTATCACACAATCAAGTCTGTCTGATGGATATCGTAATTCTGTTAACGCAAAGGTACATTTTAAATTACATATCCGCTAATATCAATTGCTTATGCATCCATGACCCGTTGCTTGCGCCGGATCCGGTATGCCTCGAAACCCCCAGGATTGTACAGGTAGAAGAAATAATACATACAGTCGCCATCAACGGCACCTCACACGCAGACGTGTCGGTTCCTGCTGATGACTTGAACATCATAGAAATGTCTAGGGAGGTCCGCAGCGTCCAGCTCGGCCCATCACCTTACAAACTTTGATGAAACAATAAGAGCAACGATGAAAATATCATAAACGCCAAATGAAACAGAAGAGCCCAGAGTCCGCCGGATGCTTCGCTATGCTTTGATGCATGTACTCAGTCCGTTAACGCCATGCGACAAAAGTGTGATTAGTTCAGATAAATTATGTTGCCTCCTTGCCAATCAGAGCAGAGGAGAATTCAAGGGGATTCTCTTGATTCTCAGAGAAATGGGGTATGGTTGAGAGCAAGGCCGATAAAAAGTCAATCGACTGCTCGCGCCGATTGTTCATAATTCTGCTGGATGACCAGCTCAGAGGCAGATAGATGTAGTCGAAGATTCCAAACTCAGCCTAGACTGATTGAATTTGCAGTCGTCATCGTGGATGAGGGAAGAGGATAGTGATAGTAAAAGGAATCAGATGATGGACATGTAATGGCTGGTAGATTGACTTCAAATAAAATGCACGAGGCCGACTTCATCCCAAGTGAAGTGCGGTAACGACCTAGTAAAACGTAGGCCAAGCTGTATCAACTCGACAGATAGTCAAGCCTTGAGATGCCAAAGTGACGTGAGGCGGGGTGGAATCAACTGGAGGCGTGACGAGAAGGCAATTGAGGAAGGCGATCGAGAAAGGCAGAGACCAGTGAAGTAAGCGTGATTCGAAGTAGAGTGAAGTTTGTAGAAGGCGAGATAGAATGCAAGTGAAGAGATACTAGCAGGTAGCCGAATCATGCGCTTTTCATGGGCTCACCTGCAGGGTTCCCGCCTCCGTGTTTCGAAGGAGTGGCGGCCTTCTTTCGAGCGGCCCGACGCGCCCTCTCCTCGGCATGAGATTGAAAATCGGCCATAAGAGCCGTTGCCGCACGGCGCCGCGGACGACCATTCGGTGTCTGGTTCACCTCTGCGGGACTGGCTGTCTCTGGCGATGGCTTGCGTCTCTTAGATGAACTGGACTCGCCATTCGTCTCCGCGTTGGCGAGAAGGCGTTTCTTCGATGGGCTGGATGGCATTGCCCCAAAAAGCATTGCCACCGCCGTCGCTTTCTCGGGGTTAGAGAACTTGAACTTCACGGTGAGACTTGGCTTCTCGGCCGTGGCGGCGGCGGCGGCAGCGGGACTGGGAGCACTCTGATTCTGTCGCCGCCTCTTGGTCCCCGAAGTCGAGTCAGGGGTATCATTGACGGGCTCAGTGCGCCTTCTCTTGCGCGAACCACTGGCAGGCTTCTGCTCCTTCGCGGGCTCACTCTGCCCAGCATTGTCATACTGGGCGATCAAGGCCTCAATCTCCGCGGCCGACATCGTCCGATCAACCGGGATGCCCCTCAGCCGGGCGCCCTCTCGTGCCTTGACCTTAGCCTTTTCCTCGTGAACGTCCTCCAGTCGAAAGGGGAGATTCGTTTGCTGTGGGAGATTACGCTCCCCCAGCCGCGGCGGGTACCCGAAAATCCGGTCCTTCTCCGCCTGTTCACGCGATCTGAATCGCCCCGGCGGCTGGGGGAGCTGGTCATCTCCGTAGGTGTTGGTGGGATGAACCCACTCAAAGTCGGAAGAGACGAAGACGTACTCCTCCCCAAACTTGTTGAGAAGACCTGTGTGCGTCCAACCATCCTCGTCAGTCCACGGCTCCGATACTTTCGTCTTGTCCATACCGAATGGCAGGCTCGAGGTTGGCCTACTTTCTCCCTCCGACCTCGCCCCCTCTCCATCTTGCCCCCGCTGCTCCACTTCAAACTCTTTGCGCAGGCTCTCCAGCCTGGCATCAAGTCCGGCATCCAGCGCAGGGTCTGCAGACACAGCCGCCGCCGCCAGCTCAAGCAGCCGTCTGGCAATAAATGCCGTGTCAGGCTGCTGAGCGGCAGACACATGCGCAGATGCCGGAACCTGATGCTCAGGCTGGGCCGCACCTCCCTTCTTCTGCCCTAGACCCGCCGTCGACTCGGGTTTGCTGGATGGAGCCCTCGAGCGGCGGAACTGTCGCTCCGACTCTAGGGACTCCAGAGCCTTCATGGTGGGTTTCCGAATGCGACTCGAGGTCCTTGCAGCAACGGACGTGCCAGTGGATAGACTCGTCGGTGAGCTCGGGCCATCCACCTGGCCATCGAGGCCGAAGCGGTTACCGTACATCTCGGGGCCATATTCGAAATGGAAGTTGTCACGGTAGGCTTGCGCAGGCGTCCCCTCAACGCTGTCGGCGACCTCCCCATTGTATGGGGTGGTCTCAAGGACCATTAGGGTCGCGGGGGAGTCCAGACGTTTATCGACAGCCAGAAGTTTAGCGGCGGTTTTGGCTCGCGAGCTTCGAGTGTTTATCTTGTGAGAAAGAGGTTGAGCTGCTTCGAGGGTCGGATCTGGGACAGAAGAGGGCTGAGATGGAGTCTTGTGAATTTGGACCGGAGGATTGTGATTGTGCTTAGTCGACGTCTCTTGAATATGATCTCCAAGATTGCGATCGATCCCGGTCTTGGACTTGCGATCACGACGGGATCTGGCAGTAGAGCCGCGTGAATTTGTATTAGCCTGGGCGGCGGGAGTTGTCGAGTCGGCTGTTTCAGCTTTTTCAGACTTGGGGGCAATGGGGGTAGCAGGTTTGACTGGTGTAGCTTGAGCCACCTTGTTGGCAGACTTGGTCGCCTTGGCGCTCGCGTGAGATGTTGTCTTGGCTTTACGATCAATGCGAGCCGGAGTAGAAGGGCGCGAAGCGGAGGCTTTGACAGAGGACTTGGGATGGACAGTGTCTTTCTTGTCGCTCACAGCGTTGAGCTTCGCAGGCATGGACTTTCTTGCCTTGCGATCCTTCTGCGTTGTTGCAGGAGTCATGGTCGACGACTTCGAGATGGACTTGTTTCCGGATGCGTTGGCCAGCTCGGCCTCGGTAGCCAGAGACTTGCGTTTCATCCGAGGGTCTTTGAATGTGATGCGCAAATTTGACTTAGACGGCGGAGCTTGCTCCTTGCGCTTAGAATTGGAAGTGGTAGGAGTCGTCAGTTGATGGCCTTGCGAGTCACCTGCATCAGCGGCGTGACCATTTGGCTTGCCTGACTTCCTATGACGGTCGCTGCTTTTGGCATCACTTTTAGACTCTGAATCAGGAACATCGTCTTTCTTTTGCACCGGAGTCTTGGTGATATTTTCTGGCTGGGAGTCCTTGAGATCAACTGGACGTTGGGATTTACGACGCTTCGTTGATGACGCCGATTCTTCGAAAGAAGAGGCGATAGGCGTCGGCGGTAGAGAGTAAGAGGTCTGAGCCATCTTAATCTTGGTCGACTCTGGCTCTCTTGTTGATTTACGTGAGTGATGAGAAGAGCTACGTCGGGAGTTCGTTTTCTGGATACGGTTAGAGATGGAAAAGAAGCGGGGATGGTAAGACACGTACAGGAGTTCTATCAAAAACAGAGTTCAGAGACATCATGTCACGGGGGACGGAATCTCTTTTAGCCACTATATCTGGGTTAGCCGTTGGGTCAGAGGAAAGAAAGATTTGTGTTGAAGCCCTAGTTGAGAGCGTCGACTCGAGGGACACAGCGGGAGACATGCCAACACTCGGTGCTTGCCACTTACTTTTGCCAGTTTGCAAGAGATCTGGAGTAAATATCCAGATCCAGGTATTCAAATAATTCTGTAATGTAAAGTGCTTCGAGACTTGGAGAAGTACGCGAAGTATGCGGCGTATGCGGTAGTAGCAGTTGGGATGAGGAAAGCAAAGGAGGGAGATTCGAATATGTTTCAAGACCCGAGAAGGATGTGTTGTGGTTTTCTCCAAATTCAACACCTGATACACAGTGAAAGGTTAGTGAATGTGTCCAAGGTGAGAGCAAACCACAGGCAGACGAGTCGTAGCGGCAATCCCTGCAGAATGGCCACTCCGCAACGACCGGCCTGTTTGAATAGCGGCAAACAGGATGTTTACATACCAGCACGCCTTATACCCAAATATTTATGACTTTATAGTATCGATATCGATGGTAGGATGATGTAGGAATCGGATGGAAAGGCAGGTAATGACGGTGGCTACCTGTCGGTGCAGCGGAGGCGAGGAGTTGGACAGGTTCAGGTCGATCGATTTGCCAGTGCAAAAGGTTCCCGAAATTAGGTATCTGCATGAAACGACATTCTCGAGCACTACCGGAGTGATAATCGAGGCGATCAACAATGACACAGCGACGCTGCAGGGACGTTGACAGCAGGTAGCAGGCCGAGGGAAGAATGAGGTGTTTGGCCGACAGCCAGAACTGCAGGAATCCGGGAAATAATTAGGGCTTGCGCGGACCAGGTGGACGCCGATGCCCCAACTCTTACTATCAGGGAGTCCCGGCGCTTATCTGGAGGTCCGCTGTTTAGCGCTTCCGCGATTCTTCAAGCCTCCGCAGTTGCATCAGAACATTGCATTGTTCTGTCATCTCGACTGCACTACTTGTTTTTTTTGTCTTTTAGTTTCTATTCTCTGACTATTTGACTCATCATGCAGCTTTGGCATACTGCTCTCCAGCTCTGTCTGCTGGCTTCAGCAACAATCCCGACCGCAGCAGCATCCTCGTGGGGGTTTACTGATGCCACCGTGTCAGTTCAAACCAAAGGCGCGGGTGTCGGTTCTGGACTGAAGGAAAAGTATAGTGATTTCATTCGATTACACTTTATCCAAAAAATTTAACATGCTAATGATATACTAATTGCAGAATCCCCGACAACAAGCCGCTCTCCAAACCGGTCGCGCTCGGAAGCTCCGATACCCTTAAAGTGATCCTCACAGCACAGGAAGGAAGCTCCGCCAAACGCGCTCACCAAGTCTTCCTCCTTCTGCAAGATCCCAAAACTGGCTTAGATATCTCGTATCCCTTTACCGTCAAGGACAATGGCAAATCCAGGGTTGAGCTGGTAAGCAGAGGTCGAGTGTACTGGGGTACTCAACAGCTGACGTGGCCTGCGTGCTTAGACTCAAAAAGACCTCCCTATTCAATTCCTCTCCGTCGCCGAACCCTTGGACGCCAGATTTGTCATCGGATCGTTTGGAACCTCTCAGGCGTACAATGAACCTGCTTTCCAGTTGACAGTGGCTCGCAACCCCGACGAACCAGTACCGAGCGTCGAGGCTTCGCGATATGGCAGACTGCCCGAGATCCACCATATCTTCAAGTCTGACCCTCAGAGCCCGCCAGTCATTGTAACTCTGGTTTTCATTGGAATGGTGCTGGCTGCTTTTCCAATCCTCGGTGGCCTGGTGAGTCTTTTCCTCCAAATAACGGTGTCCATGTGCTGACTCGTATAGTGGCTCTTCATTGGTGTCAACCTCAACCATCTGCCGACCGCCTTTAAAGCTGCTCCAATTCCCCACGCCGTTTTCCTGGGATCTCTGGTTTCCATCGAATGGATCTTCTTCCTCTACTACTCCCACTGGACACTCTTCCAGATTCTTCCAGCTGTCGCTGCGGCCGGTGTTGTCGCGTTCATCAGCGGCAGCCGCGCTCTGGGTGAAGTGCAGGGCAGACGCCTTGCAGGTCTCAGATAGATGCGCATAGTACTGGATACTGGCAGTCTTAGGAGATGGGGTGATGCGCTTGTACTAGTAAGGCCGGTTCTGAACCCTGATATACCATTTATATCCTTTTACATCGCGTGTAAAAAAAACACAACACTATACCATAGCTTACTTCAGTCTCTAAAATATTACTTTTGGTACCTTCTACTTCAAGCCATTAACAAAAAAAGAGATAATCATAACAATCAACGGCCTGACGTCACTTCTGCGGCCACGATGTTGACCAAGACGGGCTAGCCCGGCGGGTCTTTTGATCTTCTGAAGAATCTCCGCAAGCTCTCCGCCTCTACCAACTCAGCTTCACAACTTTGAGAAACATCAGATCGTCACTATCTATATATCCCAGGAGGGAAAATGGGCTCCTCCGCATCCAAACCCGCGCGGTCAGCCGCCAGCGCCGTCTCCCGACGCCAATACCCCAAACAGCCCTCCACAGCCTCCAGGGCCGCACCACAACCAAGCACAGCACCGCAAGCTGCCCCCAGAGAACCAAACCTTTCACAGCCACGCCAAGCTCAATCGCAAGCTCCATCTCTCCCCAAGGAACAAGCTTCCACAACAAAATCATCGGGTACGAATCCCTCCTCCGGCAGCCGAAGAAGAAAGATAGCTAACTACTAACGTATCCAGTCATCGACCTCGACGGCCGCGACCCTGACTTCGCCGCTCACCTCCGCTCCATCGGCCCAGTCGTCCCCAACCCGACCTTCTCGCGTACAAGCACGTTTAACCCCGGTCCTATCCAACAACACAACCAAAACCAGCCCGTCTTTCCGACAGCGGCGAATCCGGCGCTCTTGGTGCTCACTGCGCGGCAGACGGCTGCTAAGGCTGCGCAGGAGGAGGCGGAGCACATCGGGCGGCCAGGGTTTGCGGGTCGGGAGTTTGTGGATGCGTGGACGATAAGGCAGGCGTTGACGATGCGGGATCGGCAGGGATTGAGTCTGGGGGAGATTGAGGGGATGTTGAAGTTGAAGAAGGGGGCTTTGGGGCGGTTGGGGCCGAAGGGAGTTGTAGGGGAGGTTGGTTGATGATGGTTCATGTGTTTGAGTCTGTGTATGATGGGTGAAGAAGGGTTTGTACTATAGCTTGATGTGTATGACTGATTGATTGGACCTATGTACTATAAGAGGATTATATTCTGGCTATGTTGCACGTTTGATCAGCGCCTCCTCGACTGGCTTCAGCTTCCCGGCTAGCTCGAGCATCCATTCTTGTTTGGCTGCATCCGCGAAGAGAGGATATGGTCTTCGACAAGCGGCGCTGTCATCGGGATAACCCAGCAATTTGGCGACGACCCATTTGCTCCCGTTGATTCCTCCCTTTGCAAAGGCCCATTCCGACGTGGCAGCCTTCAACTGGAGCTCCGTTGCTTCCTGGACCTTGCCAGCCTTGTAGAGATCGTACAGCTCCACACACCCCTACCGCCAGTTCACAGTCAGCACGCGATATACAGGCCTGGAAGAAGGATACTCACCCTTGGGTGCAGATTCGCCATCCCCGTAATCGCTCCGAGAGCACCGACCGCCATCGCTGGCCCCATCCAGTCAATCTGCCCGCCGAGCACGCTGAACGGTCTCGCCGCATTGGCCGTCACACGGGGAACCTTCCCAATACCTCCACACGTCAACTTGGCCCCCGAGATATTCGGATGCGCGCTGAGCTTCACTAGCATGTCAGAGTCGACGTCCAGCCCCGCCGCTACACCCGGGTAATTGTACACCATGACGGGGATGGGGCTGTGGTCCGCGACTTCTTCAAAGAAGGACACGATGGCGGCGGAGTCCATGGCGAAATGGTAGTAGCTTGGTACTAGGACCATGGCGAAATCGGCGCCGGCTTGATGGGCTGCGATGGTCTCGTCGATGACATGGTGGGTGGATTGGCCGCCGCAGCCGAGAGTGATGGTTACGTCTGGGCGGTTGAGGCGGGCTGCGAGCTTGCGGGTTAATTGGACGAGTGAGGTCTTTTCGGCGGTTGAGAGTGTGACTGCTTCGCCGTTGGAGCCGGCGAGGACGACTGTTGCAGTTGTTAGGTTGTAGCCTCGTGGGTTTGGGGATAGCTGAGAGGGACGTACTTCCGTGGAGACCGGACTGTATAAGAAATGAGAGATGCTTCTCTTGTACGTCCCAGTCAATGTCCTGTCGCGGGTTATTTTGAAAGAAGGTTAGACAGGGAACGTGAATGCCTCCTGGGAAGACTTTGTTGCGGTTGATCTGATTTGACGCCATGGAGTTCTATATTCTCAAGGTCGGGGTCAAGGGGGAGTAGGCCTGGGAGGGAGATTGTATGAGCAGTTCAATGTGCTAGTTGTCCCCGCACTTGGATTGAGTTCAATTCATCTCTTTAAATATTTGCCGTGGATCTCCATGTTCCCCTCCAATATCCCATATTCTTGAAAACAACATCTCGGATCCTCTCCGAGGATGCAGGTAAACCCCACCATCCTCGGCAATCTGACATCTTAGTTGATATGGGTCGTGGACCCTAGTATACCCGGGAAGAGAGAAAACTACAGATTGATTATAGCAAAGGCACCTCTAACCGGCGGTTGAGCCGTGGAAGTGAGGCAGTACTCTCAGCAAAGCGTAAATGAAAATCGATGTCCGCATATACTGATATCACATTTTCTCGTGCACATTATGGACCCCTCCCTTACTTGATATTCAGAGCTGTCATTAATACCTCCTATGGAATAAGTTGACTTTCGTCAAATATCACTCTATCCATGACTCGCGACGTGAGTAAAGAGGCCATGAAGGCCAAACAGTCCACTATTGTCAACCATATTTAGGAGTTTAGCAAGCCCTCGGATCTGTCAGAACTCGCATTTTGATATTGAGCTCCGTGAGCTACGTTTTCAACCCATAAGGGTTGAATTAGCGCCATGTTTTTTTCCTACCTAGTCTACATCCGTATCGTTGGAGCAATTGTTTTATTTACTCTTTGTATCAGATAGAATGGAATCGCGGAGTCTTCGAAGCTTACTCATTGAATTGCCTCTATCCATGTTGCTCAAATGGTCGTCATTTACTTTTCTTGGAATACAGGGGCGTTGTTTCCCAAGGCAGGCGAGTATTCCTGAAATGAGCATGGTTGCCTGTTTGTTATGTGAATGCGCACCTTCCTGTGGTTGAGTGAATGATGGAAGCCTCCGTAGCTCTGGCAGTTTCCCCTTCCAACCCCCCCCCCGGCAGCTCTCACATCTTCTTTCATCTTTCCATTCCTTGTTAAGACCTGTATTTCTCTCTTATAGCCAACCTCCCCTTCTCCCGTTCTCTCTAGAAATTAAACAGCAACTTGGGCATCCTTCAAAAATCTTAGAATTTTTGAACAACTTCATCATAAAAATGTGAGTACATACGTTGAGCTGGCCCCAATAATGACCTTTTGATTGGATGAATGCATGTCTAACACTGTATAGGCCACGGATTGAAGAACCTGCTGTGGCTTCGGCCACCCCTCCTCCTGGTTCTCCTTCGCCTCCTCCTCCTCCTGCTGCTGCTGCTCCTGCTATGCCGGCCCCCGAGTCAGTATATTGATTCAACCTTCATGAGAAGCACCTAGTGGCAATGCTAATATAGATATAGAGCGGCGAAGATGCGGAGAATGTGGAAATTTCTATGAAGGGGCCAGCAATCCCCTTTATGACGCCTGCGGGCGTCGCCATCTTGGCGACTGCCCCCTGCCCCCGTTTCCAAGAGTCAGTATATCAATTCAACCTTCATGAGAAGCATCTAGTGGCAATGCTAATATAGATATAGAGCGGCGAAGATGCGGCGAGTGTGGAAAATTCCACAAAGGGGATTGCTGGCCCCTTTGTGACGCCTGCGGGCGTCGCCATTTAGGCGACTGCCCCCCACCCCGGCCCCAGCAACCGCCTCCCGCGGCCCCGCCAACGCCCGCCCGCCTCCTCCTGCGCAGCCAGCTTCGGCGGTTGTCATAAACGTATACAACGGCGGGGTGGTCAATTACTCTTCCTCGGCGGGCGCCGCCCCGCCCACCAACCCGCCAACCACTAAGAAGCGCCGTGGTCGTGGAAAGAAGCCCAAGAAGGGCAAGGTAGACGGGCAGAACTGAGCCTTGTATGTATTATTCCTCACGGGGGATTGCTGGCCCCTATGTGACTCCTGCGGGCGGCGTCGCCATCTCGGCGACTGCCCTCCTTATAACTGGCACCACACCTGTCTCCTCCTGCTGCCTACGCTTCAGTCAGTATCGATTCAAACTTTATGAGAAGCATTGAAGACTGGCAATACTAATACTTGGATATAGAGCGGAAGCGCCCCAGCTGTGTGAATTCCCACACAGGGCAATGCCGGCCGCCCGCCACGCCCGCTAACACCACCGCCAGCCAAGAAGGCCCCGCGGTTGTCTGGAACGGTGGTGTTCACATCACCGTGAACGCCCCCACTCCTCGCTCCTCCTCGGCGGACGCTGGCCCCCCCGCGCGCCAAGCTCACCAAGCCCGCCAACAGGCCGCGTCGGCGGAAGCGCCCTGATAAGGGCAATAAAAAGGCCGCAATGGCCAAAAAAAAGAGGAGGAGAAGAAGAAGAAGAAAGAGAAGGAGGCCGAGGCCAGCAGCAGCCCTGTTCGGCATCAAGGTCAACAACCACATTCCCGAACACGGCCGCCCTGCTAGTAGAACCGGCAATACTTCCGTTTGACTGTTCGCCTACGAAGACTATCAACCACTCCTGGATTACTGCACGCACCTCTATGTCAGGGGCAGCAAGTAAGTACACCATTCATCCGAGCTGCAATGTGTTCAGTGACTAATAGCCACAGACTCCCTCGACCATGTTCTGCATGAGCATCCAAGCGGCAAATTCCTCGCCATTCTCGCTCCTCCTTCGATCCCAATAGTGGAAAACCAAGATAGCAGAAACGATCTTCTTTAGGTGCCTTTTTGGCCCAATACAATGCGAGTACACAGCGTTGAGCTGGCCCAGATGGTGATATTTGGATTGAATCAATTGGCTAACACTGGTATGGCCGCCTCTGGCGAGTGAGTCTCGTAACCCTGGACCCGTCCTGCTAGCCCTGCCCAGTCGCCAACAAGAAGAGTCAGTTTAGACATACTTCTGCGGAGACCAAGTCTGGATGAGGAATGAGAGATGCTTCTTTTTGGTCAATATCCTGGCGTGGGTTATTTCTGAAAATGGTCAAACTGGGGGATATGAAACCTCCAGGACCTTATAGCGGCTGATTGTATTCAATGCCATGGTAATCGATTTCTTAAAAAAGGATTTCGGTAATTTATGTTTTAATCCCTTAGTGAGCAGTTATACTTTAGGCCTCCGCACCTGAAATGGGTCCGATTTTCAATTTGGTTACCGTCATACTCCGTAGAGCATCATCGTGTTCTAATCCAATGTCCCCGTAAAGTGCTGTTATAGCTGATATCTCGGACCTCGTACATCTTCTCCGTAGAACCGAAATAGAGATCTTGATCCATGAATAGATTATACATAAAACATGATACCAGTGCTTAGAGTCCGTCGCTTCCTTCTCGGTCTCCTCCTCGTGCATTGTTTCTTGTCCCTACTTTCTTCTTTTTCAGTGCTCGCAGAGTAGGACGGGTTGAGACGGGGGTTGTTKGTAATATGACCAATGAATATGATAGTGGTTATTGATGACACCATCGACCGTTGTCAGGCCGAGGGGCGTGTCACTTGCTGACAGGATGCCGGCATTCGCGCAAGGGCCAGCACTTCCGTTATGAGGGATTTCTCGTATTCGCCGCATTTGTTCTATTCTATGACGGAGTATCAGTACTGAAGTGCTTATGCATGGATCAAATAAACATACTTCCGTTGCAGGTGAGCCGCACGGCAGGTAAAAGGGCCAGTACTTGCCTGTAGGGGATTTTCCGCGCTCGCCACATTCTGGTCGCTATAAATTCAGTGGAAGTGTCCCCACTCTTCAGATGCCTCTCATAAAGGTTGAGTAGATAAACTTCTTTTGTTGAATGGCAGGGGCGGAGGCGATGGCTAGGGAGAGAAATCGTTTGTCCGTAGAAGCCTATACCAAAGTTAGTATACATCAACTCATATCCAGCTACGGGATCGACGATATACCCTCGAGGATCAAATCAGTGCTCTGTACTCACATGATTTTTGCGGCTGAAAAGGCACCCAAAGAAGATTCTTTCAAGAAACGCCATTTGGCGTCTAGCGGATTATGTCGACCAAAGTGCACATATATGTGATTCATGGAGATAGAGCGTGGGACGGAGGAGATGCTGCGGTCTCAGAAGAGTAATGGTTTCCAAGGGTACTGATGTGAAGTTGAGACAAATCGTGCGAGACACTGACGCAGGGTTCATTAGCAACATGATGTGGGTTGGGTTTTTTTTCCACCAGCACTCACCTGTATGCGATTTTCCTTCATAGGGCTATCTTTCTTTGTTGTCTGACAATTTTATGCTCAACTCTTTACAGCTCACTAGTTTTGAAGGAACCTGTCTTTGACTTGCTCGGGAAAGGCTCTCACACCGTCTGCTGTATGGCTGACAATCAGGCTCAGAGTAACACCCAGGACTGGCCCCAGCAGCATCCCAGAATAGCGTTGGTAATCTGGGCTTCTAATATGACGAAATCAAGTCACTTTGTCATTCTGATGAGATAGTAGAATTAGCAAAGAAAGAAACACCCCACAAAGTAGACGATTGAAGCATAGGAGTGCGTATTTATCGAGGAGACAAGTCCATTCTAGAAAGACAAGTTGCTACCATGCTAGCAGGACTTGATGTAAGAGCTGTATGAAAGGGCAACATATTATGAGATAGCAGTGACTTTGTGATAGCCAAACTGATACAGACTGATTATTCTGGATGATATTCTGGATGATGGATAAATAGTGGATGGTGGTTACGAAGGTACCACTTTTCCAACTTGCTATCAACAAGTCTGGCCGCCATGCGACCTTGGTTTCATTGGGTGACGAGTCCGCTAACTACCTGAGCCTCTCGATGAAGAAAAAATCATAACGTATCTTGGCTAAGTACTGCTATGTGCTGGATATAGCTGCTTATTGAATATTCTCTCTCGTTCACCAGCGCAGTTAATCCTTGACTCATCACTGTCATTATTAGAATCCTCCTTCCTCTCGTCCTAACTTCTAACCTCCTAGTCTCACTTTATACAACGCGGTGTTCCTCAAATTAAGCTCCTCATGAAGCATCGTGTCTGCTTATGATTCAAATTGATGCTTTTAGAATGTCCACTCGACCAACAGTCGGTTCTGTTACCGTGGACCCATCTGCGTCTGAAGAGCATTTGTAAAAAGGGACAGGCGAAGTTGCGCCTGTACAGGAATGACTCTTTTAGCCGGTGCTCAGAGCCTGGCGGAGGAGTGCAATGGATTGCACTTCGTACAGCACCGTCTTTGCTGGTCGATAGTCTGTCATAGCCTTGGAAATGTCGAAGAGCAAAAGAAATCTCGAAACCATCTCGAACTTCGAAAGGGAAAAGGCTCGCCGACTCGCCAATACACTCTATCGTGTAGGCTCAAATCAACCAAAGATCTTGTGAGTGGAACAATATGGCAACCAGCGCCCTGCAAATGCTGGACCGTCTGCAGCTTGACTGTCAGGTCACTCATCTTCCTGCCACTATGTGCAGAAGAGGAAGCGAAGATCAACGACTTAGCTTGCACTCAGAAGCATGCCTTATCTGTGGTTCTACCGCGGTTTAACAATCTTCCCAAAGGCTTACACAGAACACCCATCCGAATTGCTTGATTAAGAAGCGCTCTCGGCCAAGGAAGTGGTGCTAAACCTGGATCCTGAGCATCTCAACACACGATGAGGACGGTCAAATTAGTACATACTCCCTATGGACATGTTTCCGGTCTCCGCGTCAACCACGAACTCCAGAGCAGAACAAGACGTGTGATCCTAGCACGAAAAAGGAATCCCTACTAAACAATCTTAGCGTACCAGGAAGACCAATGTTGGATTACAGGGGAAACGTGTGTGGGTACTAGTCAGCTGCAATTCGCAGGACCATCTTCAGGCTGACAGTTATTCTGGGGACAATTTCAGACAGCATCTGCTATATCGCGTCCGTAGACTCCATCATACATATCCGAAAGGGCAGCAGCAAGTAAAGGGGAGCATTTCCGACTTCTATTACCAAAGTGACAGAACCACCCTTACTAATTCTGTAATAGGACCACATATATAAAAGACATCAAGGATAAGCTGTAACGAGAGAAAAGAGCTCATCTTAGCTTCGCCTGTACTTTTGAGGGCACAGGTTACTAGACTCCAGCACCACGATGAGGTGTGAGCTCGTCACTGGAGGGCAGGTTCCTCCCCACGTCCCTCGCAGAACGAGTTCGGCGGTTTAGATCTACTGCTTTTGGATGGCAGGTTCCTCCCCACGTCCCTCGCAGAACGAGTTCGACGGTTTAGATCTACTGCTTTTGAATGGCATGCATGCAGGTTGCTTTCGCACTGATGACTCTCGTGCTGGGGGCAAATGGTTGACTTACGTTTGTGGGCTTTTTTCAATAAGGTCGGTGATCTGAAGACAGAAACATCCGATATATAGCGCAAGTTTCCTCATGTGGTTGTGTTCTCGAATGTCGAAGGGGCCGATCTCTTGCATTACCAGAAAAGGATCGTCGGTTGTCTCCTTGTCTTCGAGGTAGTCGACATAGGATGCATCATATGATGCCCAGGTAAGATAGATTTCATGTCTATCTTGCGAGACTAGGAGGCGTCTTAATGACACAGAGTATCAGTATCCGGTTCACAATGCCAAATGGAAGTCAAAACTTACTGGTTGTCAAGGGGCACTTTGCGTCCTGCGCGCGCATCCCTGCGTATCCAAGCGACCATCTCGGCGGATTCTTGCATGTAGATTTCGAGGCCTTTGCCCCATCTTTTCCGGGGATGAGCCTTGGTTTCTACTATTGCAAATGCTTCGTCGCCCCCTTGGGGTCCGTATAGATAGCCGTCTGTGCGGGACTCCATGGTAGCTTTTTTGAACTCGACCTTGAATGCGAGACGTCGTATGCCCCACGTACACTTGTTATTGGGGATATTCAGGGCTACCGCGTCGAGAAATGCCATCAGTGCCTGATTGACATATTGCTCGTCGCGTGTTTTCTCCCATGTCTGCCACACCTGCTCAGCCGCTGGTGTTAATCGAGTTGTCCCTGTGTGGCTTGTGGTAGATGCATCCGATGATGTTCCTCGGCCGGGTGTTGGGCTCATCCTAACGCTGGTCGACATTTCCCCTGGCGCTCCACCTTCTGGGACCTTGTTCTGGACTTCAATTTGACATTTTCTGGCGCCCTGGAATACTCCCAGCTTAGTCAACGGAGCACCATTGTCTTTGATTGACTTCAGGTAAGCTTCGAAGAACATGTTGAACTGTCTATTCTTTTTGAAGATCTTCTCCATATCCTCGAGATTCTCTTTCGTGATCGCTGGATTTGGTGCACCTCGACCAGTGAGACGCTTCAGTTCCTTCCTTGGCGGCCAATAGACGCGGAATGTGAGGAACTGCTCGGGTGTGACGGAGGAACCTGACTGCATGGCTTCGATTGTGTTGACTGTCACTTTATTCTTCTGATCTTCTATTTTGAAATCGTGGGCTAAAAAGCTCCAGCCATAACGGCTTGCGGGGATGGACTTGAATTCAGGCATGATCGTTTCTAGGAAAGCGAATCTCAATGTTTTCTCGAAAAGAAACGTACTTGGAGTMTATTGTAGAAACGTATCGTGTGCTGCTAGAATTGCAAGTGCATGGAGGAGAGAATCAAGACCAGCGACATTCAACAGCTATGAAAAGCTCTGCATCACACGAGTCTCCAGGAAACTCCTAACTCAAGGAAGGTGCGTAGTTACATACATGTTTACCGAATAGAGACCTTCCATTCCGGGAATCCTAGGGCAAAGCAGGAAGAAAGGAAAATCAGACTGTCAAGAAACATGGGTAGGAGCAATTCGATAGTTCAATGAAGCAGGAGTAAAGATAAGCCCCAAAGACCTCGCTTCCATTCTACCTTACCTGATACAGAGGGTATTTGAGGTAAGCCCAATGGGCAAGCTAGCTAGGTAACGCACAAACAGTGACGCCGGGGCTGTTTCTTTATTTTCGAAACTCATAAGAGGGGAGTACTGCAACATCACCTTCTCCCCATCGTAATGAGCCTGAATAATCCTCGCATGTTTGGGACACATATACGATATGGCCAATATCTGTCCGCACAGTTAGAAGAGCCCAGAATCAGTAAAGAAGGCGTATACTCACGGGACCCGTCGCATATTGTTCAAATTCCAGATCATACCAGTGATACATATAATGGAGAAGCCCACAGACTTCAGCATGGGTGAGGCTCGTGTCGTTCGCACGATAGTGAACGCAGAGTATGATCATTGCGTGGGGCATTGCAGCAGATTCGTCTTCGAAGACGGAGTTGTCGAGGTAGGCTGACGATGTGTACCAGTGCCCATTCCCGATCCTGTCCCCTGCGTCGATAGAAACACGGCCCTCCACCCTTGGAAAGATCTCCCACGGGTACCCCAGTGGTGAGAGTGCTCCCAAACATTCTCGCCCGTCGGTATAAATCCCAGAGCGTTTGCAAACCACCTGGGAGACAATGTGCCAAGTGAGACGTGAAAGCTCCGCCTTCCATGGATATGTTTCGTCGGTGCGCTTCGTCTCGAGATCAGGTATCCCGCCCTCCGTAATGGGATACTCCAACATGGATGTAGGCTGGGGCAGGAAAAAACATGGATTAAAGTCTAAAACCTCCTTATCTGGTGCTAATTCAACCCTGACGGCTTTCAAACCCATCTCAGAGAGCTCATCAATCTCAAAGTTGGGAGTTCTGACGGAGCTGAGGGCTTGCCGGAGCTGCTGAAGGTGGTTGATAATGGCGGACTGTTTGGCCTTCATGGCCTCTTTACTCGTGTCACGAGTCATGGCTCAGGGGACCATGAGTAACAGCTTTTAACAGAGGAAGGAGTTGAAGTGTGAACGTGAGATATAAACGGGGACTCTGGGGAGCTCATGAATATATACTTCCACGTATACATGAGTCAAAATGATGTCAACTCAGGCATATGTGTTATGATCCGCTGCTCTCAATTTTACCACTTTTGAAATCATCGACTCTAGAGTTCCGAGATTCCGGGGAATTATAGACTTGAAACTACGGTTGCATGGATGTAGATCCCAATGTATTGCAGCGACCGCTCTCTATACTTAGCCAAATGGGTTACTCCAATCTGTGTTGCTCAAATGTCGTCATTTATTTCCTTAGGATACAGGTAGAAGAGCGTTGTTTCATAAGGTAAGCAAGTATACCTGAAACGGAGAGCATTGTTGCCTGTTTGTTACATGTATGTGCAACTGCCTGTGCTTGAGTGAATGATGGAAGCTTCCGTAGCTCTCGCAGTTTCCCCATCTTCACTCAATCTTTCTACTACTTACTTTTCGTCCACACCAGCATTTGTAACAGTAACATGTGTTTCTCAAAACAGCCACCTTTAGGTGCCTTTTTGAATTTTACCTACGTGAGTATATAGAGTTCAGCAGAATAACAACGCTCACCCCAGGCTAAGCCCCAGCCACACTGTTGTGGGGTACCTATTGGTGCATGTCGTGCTTAAGAACCGCGGCGGAAAATTGGGATTCCAATGACAGGTGGTACGCCGGTTTCTTTGATCTGACCCTAAACTGGACTGCCACTATGCATATTGAATGTGGAGTGACGCAGCATCTGCTCTATCTCCATCCCCAAGCTCCCTTTCCATGCTGCCTACATCTTTTGCAAAACAGCTAAGTTGTTGGTTGAGATATTATCACTCAAATCTTCCGCTTTGAGTCATTGTTCGCTGTACAAGATGTCCGACAATAACACCTCAAAGAAGGCGGGTCAACCATCCACCTCCACTGCCAATGAAAGCACCCTCCAGCCACGAGACGGTACGCTGAATGTTTTACTTCCTATCCATGCATGCAGATAAGCAAACTAATAACATCAGATGTCCGCCTGTGTCCACATTGCCTCCCATCAGACCCGTCACCCGGCCTATCGTTGTCCGTTACGACCTCTGTCGACCGGGGTGGGACACGCTACTACTACTATTACCTCTCGACCCGTCTTCGGGAGCACTACAACACCCGCCCTGGCGATTTCTGTCGGGGAGCTCATATTTGGCACTACAGCGGCGGCAGCGCCACGGTTGTTATCCAGATTCCCGCGGCAGTGGTCGAGACACTGACGGTTGCGATCCAGGTGCGCGACAAGCCAAAACGCAGACGCAGGAAGAGACCCAACAAGGCAACAAGGAGAGCTCGCGATTGCTGGCCCTTCTGTGGGGAATGCTGTTGAATATCATTTTACTAGCTAGAAATGGCTGTCTTGACACCTTTTTACCTCAGTGGTTTGAGTGCCCTCAATAAAAATATAGTATAAACAAACCCTTTGCTTATCCTTACTGAGAGGCTGGGCCCCTCCCGCCAATTATTCCGCTCCCGCTGCTCCTCTCAGGCGCCATCCCCCCGCCCGCCAAAAACAACCAAGAACGAGGCCGGATAAGGCCAAAAGAAGGCGAAGATGGCGAAGAAGGAAGAGACAAGCTTGAATCCAAATGTGGTTAATTTTAATGGTGATGCTCTGCAGGCGCTGTCACATCCCGCTCGCCCCCTCAGGGAGTGATAGGATAACCAACCTGATCCCAGCACTATTCTAGGATGACCTTACGTTGATATAGTTATTCTGTGAAATCATCTCACTAACTAGGCCCAAGGTCAACGGCTGGAAGCAGTCACTATTTTCTACTTCCGAAGTCTGAACGGCACTTAGCTCCCGCCTAGCAGCAGTGCCGTCGGAATATTGCGCCTCTGCTTCAACATTAACGGCTCATCAGACCCGATCCAGGCACTCCTGCTCAGCCCGCCGTACCAGACTCAATGTTTCACAGTGCATCTCACGCGGAAAACTGACAATCTGAAGAGATAGCTGAGCTGGATGGTTGAGCCCCTCGGTCCGCTACAATCAAGACCGAGAGTTACAAGAACGATTAAGTCCGGCCTCTTGTCTACGGGTATGTATATGATTGAGACGATATGAATAAACGCAAGAGCTCCGCCATAAGCTGAAGCATATCCACAACGCATCATCAAGTAGCGTCAAAATCAGACCACTAGGCTACCTTGTCTTGATTATCATCCAATAAGGTAGCAGTGGTATTCAAACATCTTATGGCTCATTTCAACAATATCAAAATCCAATTTAGCTGGACTAAGGGGTCCGGACGATGTACTCCTTGGCCTTAGGATCACATATTCGTAGTCATAGTGATATAATAATAACGTATAATTTAACAGACATCTTTCTCCGTCGCTAGTCTCCCAACAAGACGAAGATCTGCATCTATGATACATAAGATAAATGGAGTATTCGAGCTCGTCCCTGTCGGCTTCTCCTCCTTCTTAATTGGCTTCTTGGCCCTTTTTCATGGCCTTATCGGGCCTTGCTCGTCTTCTCTTGTTCCTGGCGGGCGCTGGGCTTCATAACCTCGTTGGTGGTGAGCCATACTCGATGTCATCATCGAGACCTGATGATACGATTTGGGCGGATGTCAGTCCTGCTGGTAAAGTTACGAGCTGTGCCTAAGTAGATGCTGAATCTGTTGCAGCGACTTGCTCTCCATACTACTCAATCAAAATAGGCCCTGAATGGGCCTGTCTTGCTAAGTAGGTAAGAGAAGTTGAACTACTGTCAGATTGAATAGTGCAGAGCGCAGTCGCCCCATATGCTTAATGATGTGGACGAGGTCTCGATGTAGCTTCAGTCAATGGCTCTTCCCATTTTCCCAGAGCTGTCCTCCTCATGCGAGGTAGTATCGACTATGAGCTGATTAAGGTTTAGGTGTTTCCTGCTGAAGATCAGCTATCGCCTTCCCACTCGTAGAGTAGAGCAGTAGAGCATCACTGTAGCAAGTGTGCTGGCCGTAGCCCTTTCCTAGTGTCCATAATCGTAAGTAATAAAAAGCGTCGTAGGCCCCATGTTGTCTTCCTGTTGTACATCAAAAAGCTCAAGAGACACTTTTTTTCCCCGTTCTTCCTCACAATGTGAGTACATACCAATAGTAAATCGTTGGACTGAATCAATGTATCTCTAACATTTAGTATAGGACAAACGACACCACTGCCGCGGCCTCCGCTCCCGCTCCCACCGCGGACCAGCCTGCCCCCGCCACCAATAGTCAGTACATTGATTCAACTTTCATGCAGAATCATTTGAAGAGTGGCAATAGTAATACTTGGATATAGAACGCAGGCTTTGCCACATCTGTGGCAAGTCCCACACAGGGGACTGCTGGCCCCTGTGTGGGACTTGCGGGCGCCGGCACCCAGGTGAGAAACCATGCCGCACTGCCACCCGCCGCCAGCCCGCTCGCCGCCAGCCAGCAGCCCACCAGCCACCAACGGTGGTTGCCAACTACACCTGCAACAGTGATGGCCATGCCATCACCATATCCGCCCAGCCAACATCTGCACCCCCGCCTGCCAAAAAACAGAAAAGAAGGAAGCGGCCAAACAAGGCCAAGAAGAAGGTGGAAGAGAAGAAGGAAGAAGAGAAGGAGAAGGACGTCGAGCCGGCGCAAGAGGGCGAAAAGCCTAGCTCTGAGTGAGCTTATATAAATTAACAATATACATATTACTCATGTATATAGTATTTTTCATCAATTGACCCAGTTATTCAAAAATTGCTTCGTTGTAGTCCACTATAGATACATCTCATAGTTGCAAGTACGAATCGTCATCTTAATTCCTGTAGACAAGAAGCACGGACAAAACCAACTCGCTCCCGTGATACGGTTCGGGTCCTTGAATCGACTCTGGGGTTCAAAGCATATTCCTCTGAGCTCGGCCTACAATGCATGGTGTAGCCTTCCATGTCCATTTTGTACTCGATTGGCTTCCAGCCCTACTTTTAAGCAATGTACTCCGTCGGTCACAGTCGACCGCTGAACACGTAACTGTGATCAACTCCCAGTCTCAACAGGACCTCAGTCTTCGAGGTAGCAAATGACTATGTGCAGTAAGACCTAGAAGAAGATTGTTGGGTTTGTCTTGTACAAGTCATCCTTTTGGCGTTACCAATAGCGTACGTAGTCCTCGAGCTATTTCCTCCATGACGTGGACAAGGTCTCAATGTAGCTTCAGATGATGGCTCTTGCCATTGCTGGAGCTGTCCTCACATGTAAGGTAAGATAGTGTTGTTTATGAGCTGTTCCTCCCGAACGTTGGTTATCACCTTCCAATTGTAGAGTAGAGCATTGTAGCAAGTGTGGTAGCCGTTGCCCTTTCCTAGGACATAGGCGTAAGTAATCAAAGAGCGCCGTACTCCGTAGAGCTCACGTATTTTTCCTGCTGGACGTCAAAAATCTTACAGATTTTCAAACTGCTACATCACAATGTGAGTACATAGCATTGAGCTGGCCMCAAAAGGAAATCTTCGAATTGACATCAGTATAGGACAAACTCAAACGGGACTCCTCGCCGCCCCTGCTAACAAAAGAAGTCTGTTGATTCACGCTAAATGAGAGGCATTTGAAGAAGGATAAATACTAATACGGATATAGAGCGGAAGCGATGTGCCCTTCCGCGCTGGGGATTGCTGGCCCCTCTGTGGGCAGTGCGGGCATCGCCATCTCAGCGACTGCCACCCTTCCGCCCGTCTCCCACCAGACAGCAAGCAAGTCCCTGAGGTGGTTTGGAACGGTGGTATGAGAATCACCACCTCTGGATCCCGGTCAACATCCCCATCTCCGTTCCCGCTCCCTCCGCCTCCTCGGCGGGCGCCTTACCGCCTGCCAAAAAGCCAAGAAGACGGAAAAGGCCTAATAGACAAAAAAGAAGGAAGAGGGAAAGACGAAGACGGATGAGGAGGTGCTGAACAAGCAGAATGACACTGATGAGCTCCAAGTGAGCCATAGTATCTGCTGGCGAATCCTGTCTCCCGCCCGCTGGCCCCGCTTCCAAAAGTCAGTATATTGATTCAACCTTCATGAGAAACATCTGAAGAGTGGCAATGCTAATGTGGATATAGAACGGAAGAAATGCGCCCAGTGTGACACCTATGGGCGTCGCCATCTCGGCGACTGCCCCCCGGCACGCCGCCAGCTGGCCACGGCCCTCCAACCTCCTCCCGCCCCGGCCACATCGGCGGCATCGGCGGCATCGCCACCAGTAATGGTGGTCTACAATGTTTACGGCGGGGTCGTCAATTCCTTCTGTCCGCCCCCGACTACCTCCTCAGCGGGTGCCGTCCTCCCGCCCACCAACCCGCCCACCAAGAAGCGCCGCTGTCGGGGCAAGAAGGCGAAGAAGGAGGAGGCCGAAAAGAACTGAGCCTATATCATTTAATATTTTACGTATTATTCATCTCGGCCACTGCCGCACTCCGCCCCCACACCTGCCAGCCGCAGGCAATGGTCCTTTTTTTTCTGTGGGTGTGGTGAACATGAACCAACCCTCTTCTTCCGCACCCCCTGCCTCCTCGGCGGGCGCCGTCCCAAAAATCTTAGCATTTTTGAACAAGACCCATCACAATGTGAGCACATACTTAGCATTGAGCTGGCCCCATTAGCGGATCCTTGGATTGACATCAAATAGGACCTCCAACGAGACTCCCGCTGCCCCCGCTAACAAGAAAAGTCTGTTGATCCGATTCAACTCTCCAAGACGCAATTGCAGAAGGGTAATACTAATCTGGATATAGAGCGGAACAAATGCCGCCAGTGTAGCAATTACCACACTGGGTATTGCTGGCCCGTCTGAGGGCGGGGCCCGCAAAAAAACTAAGACGAAGGAAGCGGCCTGATAAGGCGATGAAGAAGGCCGCCAAGGAGGCCGCCAAGGCGAAGAAGGAGAAGGAGGAGGAGGAGGAAGAGGAAGAGAAGGCCAAAAAGGAGAAGGCAGACTTTATTATCTAACTTTACTTTCTAGTTGCTGGTATTTCCTGTCGGCCACGATGATCAGCAGCCAGGAATTCGAGTACAGTTGGTTGTCAGCACAGGAATCCAATGATCGAATGATCCATGCATTAGCTGGTTGCAGCCGTCGAATATTTAGGGTAAACCATACATTATCCCAGTCATCTTTTCCCCTCCCTCGATGCGAAAGTCTGGAGAGATGGCAAATGGCAGACGTCATGACGAGAACATTGGACTTGAATCAGATCACGCTTGCTTTCCCAACACGAAACGCCATGCAATAGCATTCAAGAAACAAAGATCGTGCGGGAAAAAATTTAAAATGAAATAAAAGCAAAAAGTAAAGCATCGCACAAATCTTTACCAGGCACAGTGGCCACCATCGATGCGCAGATCACTTCCTGTCATGAAGCTGCTGGCGTCACTCAAGAGAAAGACTGCGGCACCCCGATATTCGTTGGGGGTAGACAGACGGCCCAGCATGTTGTGCTTGGGCCATTCTTCTCGGCGCTCCGGGAACTGGATAAACAAATCTTCGACCATTTTCGTGACAATGTAGCCCGGCGAGATGGTGTTGACGCGAATACCATATTGACCCCACTCCATGGCCAGATTGCGACCAAGCTGGATGACAGCGGCCTTGCTGGCATTGTACGCGGGACAAATGAGACCCTAGTCAAGTTAGCATTGATTTAGTTCGGTTGAGAACAGTAGAAGCCATGCAATGGATTTTTGACGGCCAAGCGTGACATAAGTCAAAAGCGGGGAAAGGAAGAAATCCGAGGATCCCCTGTTTCCCACACTGGAAAGGAACTGATGGGAGCGTACCCGATTCGCAACAGTGCCACTCATGCTCGCAATTAGTGCGATGCTACCACCATTACCAAAGCGAATCATCTGCTTGGCCACTGCCTGGGCAGTCATGAACACACCCGTCACGTTGACCTCAAACATGGTGTTCGCGTCCTTGGCCGTGTACTCCAGGGCTGGGGTTTCCTGTTGGATTCCTGCTGCGGCKATCAGGCCGTCCATCCGGCCCTCGACATTGGCGATTTGCTCAACGGTGCTGGTCAACAGTTCCGTGTCGCGCACATCAATGCGACGGTAGTGCAACTCCGTGCCCAGTTCGTCCTTCCCTCGCTTCTGAATCTCGAAGAACTCGGGCGACTACCACCATCAAGCAAGGTTAGACAAGATGCGCCACGAACAAGGTTGTAGAATCAGGGTTACTCACTGGCTCCTCCAGACGATCCAATCCGTACACTTTGGCGCCGGCCTCCAAGAGTGCTTCGGCCTGGGTTAAACCAAGACCACGAGCAGCACCGGAGACAAGGACGACCTTGCCAGCCAGACTGAATTCTGGCATTCTACCCTTGGAGCCCAGAGAGACGTCTGCCTGTTTGGTCGCAGGAACGACAGGAGTATCGGCAGTGATGGAGACAGACATTATGATTAGAGTAGATGTGTAGTCGAGCAGTAATCGAAGTGCGAGAAGTTGAGTCGTAGTGTAGTCGTTCAATTGACTTGATTACTGCACAGAGAAAGGAGAATAGACGCTGGATAGAATACAATCGAAGCCTGGTTGATCTAACGAGCAGCCATCCAGCCCCTTAAATACTTCACGATCGTGAACCTACGGATGAACGAATCCAGAAAAAGGTGGGTAGTACTACGACTCTAGAAGCCTTCGCTCAAGCCAAAGAGCTCATGTGAGCAATTGGAATTTGGATAGTGGCCAAAAGAGGCAAGCATGATGGCTACTGGAGAGAATGTCAAGCAAGAAAGTAGCGAGGGAGTCTGGTTGAAGGAACGATGGATCTGGTCCAGACCCTGCGGGGGGCAATAATGCAATTATGCCTGGGATAGAGGAGCCATTGCTTCCCCACCAATTGGTCATTCGCTTGATGTCCGTGGCCCGAACTACATTAGACATTATTGTAGGCAAATGTAGGTTCTATTTTAATCTGACAGGTTGATAACGTCCTGTACAGCCATGGTACGCATGCTTGAGTGTGTTTTGATTTTCCTGCGCGACAGCTCTCTAGTTTATTACAACTATATCTTGAGGTGCGTACGGAGGAGTAGGAATTGGGAAACCCAAACAGAATAATCCAGGCAAAAACCAACTGATGATAAAATAATGATGAGGCGATGATACAATACTCATCCTCCCCGAACTTGACAACCTGGTTTCGCTTTTACAGGCTAAATGACCACAACAGAGTAGTTGGGAGACCCCTCGGCCGTGGCACCATTTGAAGACCCGGATTACCTAATTGAGTAATCCGGGCGGGAGAAAGCCCGACGGGTCCAGATGACTTAAGATGCCGGGGAAGAAACGCCGTGTTTTCTAAGAATATTTGGGTCGACAACGCTAGGGATGGGACAGCTTCTGCGCTTGGGGTCACGCGGCCATGGACTGGGCAGTTCTGGAAAGGAGAATCAATGCAGCAGAAGATTCTACGGAGAGACTACACTGGGTCTGATGATGGTCACGCGTCTTGGGCGATCGTCCTTGGGATGTTATTAATCGATTTAGGCGATTCATCGAAACAGTACTATATGATGCTAGTATGCAGGGGAAGAGAGCGTGATCATGTCTGATTATGTCCAAGTGTGAAGGAGAGGTGGCGGGAGATGATTCCTGTTTGCACGGTCCTGGACCTCCTATGCTGTGGGTTCGTTATTGGTCAATTCTTTGTTGTTTATCTGCCATCACTACTTCGAACCTATCTTGAATTTATGCTAGAATGATTCATTTCATCTACTCTTCTATCTAGTTCTACATCCGGTCATCGCTTTCAGTGCTTTGAGCCTAAATCCATGTCGTCACTACTGTCCAGACTATATACGCTTAACTTTGTCTTTTTCAAGAGCATACTTCCTATCACGAGTTAGGCCGTCCATAATCATTTACTACATACTCAGGTCTACAGCATGGAACATCTACAAAGATCATCCCAATTTCTGACAGTAATATGGAGGACGCAATCTGACCTGGTGTCCTTTAGAGGTCTTAGCCATGTCTCGTTCCAGGGAAGAAACAACCTCGATAAGGTATTGTGGAGAAGTGGGCGAATCCACTTAAGCTACTTACCCTTTCAGGTTACCCGGGAGGCGTTCCTCGGGTCAACCATAGTATGGAAAATTAAAGCTATACAACTGGGGGCTTTGAGGTCTTTGTTATCTCTTCTGTCTCAACCTCTTTTCAATTGGAGGGACGGATGTCCTATTTCAGTCCCAAATAGGCTGTCATCAGGCAGGGATTTGCATAAGCCTAAGCCTAATAAACGAATTCCATTCCCCACACGCATATACACTGGTAGTAGAAAAGTGGTGAAAAGCATAAAATTAAGGATAAATAAGCATTGATACCAGACAGCCACTCATCGCTTTTCCTGTGCTGCGCCAACCACCTAGTCTCGGGTATCCGTAAAAGCTTCTGGCTGCTCATGCGTCAGGTATACTCTGCCAACTCTTTATCGAACTGCAATACTGAAGCTGGAAGATAGTCTGCCGTACAATACCCGGCGGGTGAATGATCTAAATGAAAGGAAGCCAAACATTTCCTACCACCGTATTGCCCGTGAACTGAGCAATACATCGACATAACCAAAATTTAGCATAATTGAACTGTAGATTCAGAAGTAATTTTGCAACAGCTTGAAAAAAATTAAGTCAAATCCAGACATGGCATAGAATAATGCAAGCGTAGTTCCAAGGGCAGATTCGAGATTGATATACGAGGACTCGCTTTGGCGAGATTGAATGACAAATGCCGATATAGGTTGTTTCTAGGCGATAAACTTCAGTCTTACACAGATGCAGCTGCTAATTCAGCAGCGAGATTCAAGAGACTCAAGGCCACCTGTAGGATTTGGTGCCAACTGCAATGGTACCTATATTTGGGACAAACAAGGAGGATAGATCTAAATACCGTAGTCAATGCAGATATGACGCTAGATTCAGTAACAATGCGAAGAGGACTAAATGCTAAGTTTTCAAGCCCAAGGATAGAACGAACAATATATTGTCGGCAGGTCGCAGACAGATGCAATAATATCCGATTCTGTGCAGATCAGAGTGAGGATAGATGCCAGTAAATTTGCCAGTATATTCAAGGACAGCTCCTACAATAGATACAGTGTTCAAATTGGAATATAGGTGCCATGTCCAGACTAGACGGTATATTCAAGGACAAAATCGGTTGTTAATAAATGGATTGATAGTATCCCACTTGTTTTCCAATTGATTGGGGATAGACTGCATAGAACGTGGGTTGAGTCCTCGACAAAAGGACACTAATGATAGTCGTGGGGAGTGGATGACTTTCTCATTAGGTACCTTATCAGAGGCAGTGGTTATCGGAATGTCCAAGCATATCCTCTTTTTGATGGTAACGAGGAAACATATTAGGAAACTCTGCTCTACCTAGACATCCGTTCAATTTCTTCTAATAGGGTCAATGACTATCTCAATCTTAAAAGCCTTCTGTCGTTGGCATGAAAGACAACATGGACAATCAGAGAATATAGGATTGCCGACAGTAAGTTGACAATCAGTCGTGTTCATCTCTCATTCGCCCGTTCCAAGTCTCAAAAGAACATGACATCGGCATGTGATTGAACGATAGGGGAGGGCCTCTTGAGATCTCAGCAACAGAAGTTAATGAAAAACAGGACCCCATCTTCAAGTCCATTGCCCACGATCGTGGCGCAAGTAGTTCGAAGCTTGGCAGAAGGGGACAGTTCCATGACCCGAGTGTGAACTTCACCATCTCAGATTTAAAAGATCGGACCAGTCCGAGCCCCGACAGTGGAAACCAGAATAGCCCTGTTTTGAGAATATGTGATCCTTTTCTTTTTTTTCAACACCTACAAACGATCCCGCAGGCAGCAAGATTGTTGCACTGTTGCACCGCGTTCACCGAGTTTTCCTATGGTTCATTGCATAAAACTACCTTGGATAAACCACAGTAATTTATGCGTGCTGAAACTTCT